AACCTAGACGCATGTGATCTCGGAACACGAATTAATAGCTTCGTAAGTATATTGAATCGTTCGTAAACTTTCCGTGCAATTATTGTATTTAATAAAATGTATTTTGAAATTGGAGATACTTGTGTTTGTTAGTTTGGGGCGAAGGTAAACCTGAGGGGCACTTTGCATGTTTCTTTCTTGGTTGCACGGAATGGTTTGGTTGACTCATTATGAGTACGTTGTCATTTGACGCGCGGTTTCAAAGCGGCTACATTGAAAATTTTCACTGAAATTTTCCAAAAAGTGTTGTGACTACCGATGTTGCTTTCGAAATACACTAGGTGCAGGGAGAGATTGATCGTGAACTCCGCGGTTAGCGATGACACGTGATCGAAGGAACAATCGATGCGATATCAGAGTCGATTACCGAGCGTCCACACAGAAAAGAATAGTTCAGACAACTACGTTTCTGTGAAAAAAATTCGCGATACAGGGTGACCTTCAAGAAAGAATCTTAATTGATAGAAGTATTAGTGTTTTTCATTGCATGAAATCCTAAGAATCTGACGTGACGAAAATATCGATAGAAGAATAATGACAACAGATAATTCTTGGTATTCCTAAGTAAGTAAAATAATACGAACTAGTGACAGTCAAACCCTTCGTAGAAGCAACCAAGTTTTGACCTACATATATGAAATGAATGGGCGCATGAATTATGTATCCGTCGCAAAATTCCATATTAGCATAGCCGTCGTAGCTTATTGAAAGTCGTAAATTACACTAACTTCCAACTGTTAAAACACTCACTCACTTGTATTACGTAATCTGTATATTTTTAGAAAGGACCAATGGTCGCTTCAAGTTCTCGGTTTACACATAAGAAACGAACATTAGAATAAAATCTGCCAATAAAATCAGTTTATACTTCATTTCTTCAGCCGACACTCAAAGAAACGTTAACGTACGAGTCATTTGCATAAAATTTTTCAAATCATTTTCCGACAAGTTCTGTTAGCTTCATAGCGACAAGCAGAATAAATCCTTATATCAAACTCTTTACTGAACCAATCTTTTTTCAACTATTCGAATACGAATATTAATTTAAAACATGTTCACTGGTAATCATCGGAATCTAAACTGACAACTCTATTTACAAACATTTTAAAAAATCATGTTACAATTATAATAAGTAAAACAAGGGAAACATAGAATACATTTTACCGCAAAGACTGTATAACGTAGAAAGTTAATGTAAGTTTTATGAAGAACAGCGTTTGCTCTGTTTGAAGATAAGCACGGTAATATTTACTTTCAATGTCATCCAGAAGCCCTTGTAAAATCACATTTAAAATACGGCATCCCTATAGTACACACAAGGGTTGAGGAGATTTCCAGCGCAGATCTAAACCATAAAATTACCGCCCACCTTGAATCTAAAGCGTTCAATCCCGCGTTACTCCTACGCCAACCTCGGGATAGACGTAAAATCGATCGAAAATGCCGGGAAATTCGAGTTTTCCCAGAGGTAGAGCATCGATGTGGCCAAGAAGAGCGCACGACGACGACGCAGTGGTCGTCGATCGATCGGAGCGCGAGTGCGTGGTAACTGGTAGTCACATGACCCCGCCGCTTCATGGCGCAGCGAGCACAAGGGCGCCGCGACGCAACACTGGAGTTAATATACGCGCTCGCGTTTCCGTGGCTCGTGTGTCGTGTGCGTTTTTTTTTTGTGTGTCCGTCGTTCATTCGCGAGTGCGACAGCAAATTGTCTCGTAGCAAGTGCTCCTTCGTATTGTGGAACGATGGCATTGAGCGCGTGAAACGTCAACGGACGTACGACCGAGAAAATGCCAGCACAGAAGCGAGCCGTCGAACTGCAGAAGGTCTTTGTCAGAAGGAGAGACGGTCTGAAGGTGAGTCACTGATACAATTGACCGCTTTCGATTACCCTTTTTCAATGTAAAAACTGAAGGCCACGTCCACGTGGCGTTTACGGGGTCAGGAACACCCATTCCGACCGGACCTAACCTCAAAATTCAAAGGGAAGCGTCGCCCCGCTGAGGTTAGGTACCGTCGTACTGCGACAATTCTTGGTCTATTTTGTCGATCTCATCGTTGTGTAGTGCCACTCGATAGTTAAAATGTATGCGCATATCAGCTAGATACCACATCCTATGATGTAACCGTTTGGCGACTTCGTAATCATCGAATTACGTCCCGTCAGAACGTTGTGATATGCCGCATTTGTTATCTCGACTGCCGGTACGTGAATTAGAAACTATCTGCTCCAACACTTCGATGTTACCAGTTAATTTATCGCTAATTATTTTATGACAAAGTATCGAAGTGTGATAGACTTTACACTTTCCGTTGGCTATATTTTACTTGTAATCGATCTTTGCGTAACCGTTCATCCCCTAATCGTGTTTCCTTTTTGCAGCGATAAAACGTTTTCCAATCATCTGATTATTAGTTCCTGTTATCAGATTACGTTTACTGTGAGGAGTGGAGTATCTTTATAGAACGGGAGGAGACTTCGGTAAAGCTTCAGGTTACATAGTGACATCAACCCCTATAGTGTAATTGTTTCTGTGGGGAATGAAACCAATATGGTCGCTCTTTGTGTGATCTGTGGCTTTTCCGAAATTGCTTCCTTGAAATCGAAGATATATCAGTTGGATCGTTTGTTGCCAAGTGATAGGATCAGCATGTGAAGATTAGTACAGAGAAGAAATATCAGTATTTCAGTCAAGAATTTCGTTCAAGATCTTAAAGCTGTTGTGCAGACAGCTAAAGTCTGATTTTGACCGGAAGTCCACTTCGAAGAATTGAGAGCATCCCCTAACGTCACGAGGGATGGTCACATGCCCCGATCCCGTGCCAGCCGGCGCAAGAATTCAATTGAACGACTCGCATACACTGACTCGCCTTATAATTTCAATGTGGTCAATAATGAAATAATTTGCTTCGCTAATAAATAACGTAACGTTTGCCATACAATCCGTTAAGTACCATCATTGTAAACCTCTCGAATTGGTATTGCTTTACGATATTCAGTTTGTAACATAGTGTTTGTATTTCACCATATATTAAATCGATTATAAATAATTTCACCTCGCTATTTTTGTACAGTAAAGAGTATTTTATTTTATCGACAAATAAATCTTAAATAAATCACAGGGATACTAAAATTATTACTTATTCTGTCCAAAGAACAGAGACTCCTCGTTTCGTTAAAAATGAAAAATCAAAGGACAAAACCGTGAACATCTATTGCGCGACGCGATCCACTAAAAGATTTGGCGTAGAAGAGAAAGGAAAACTACGCATCGCTGCTTTAATCGATCAATAAATGTCAAAGAGTTACATGAAGCGTTGTTTCGCTACGTCACTTGCAATTTATGGAAACAAAATGAATATTAACGAAAACATCGTTAATTTAACTTCAGTTCTCGGTAGAAAGTAACGTCTCACATAAAAGTTTTCCATCGAACGTGTACATATATGTTTCAGATGCGGCAATCGTTGTTGCTCAGCGAAAAAATTAAACGTGAACTCTATCGCTGTGTTGATCGATCGGCGAAAATTGAGCCGTCAGGTCTAATCGCGGTGACCTTGCGATTTTACAAGCAACGATGCACGACGAGTACATGAAACAAGGCACGATGTATAAAGAAATCAACGAAAATTGATACTAGCAGCAGGTACCGATCACTTTACCCTGTGAACGGTTCCGATTACTTTGGCTTCATCAGAACTATGACTGCATCGTCTATCTTGTTTTCTATTCTGACGCGCACCCTCCTCTATTAACGATAAAGGTAATCTATCATTTAGATTCGGATGACAGAATATCAAATCCACAACGTATTTACCCACTAGAAATAAATATGAAGTCAACACTGTCAGCAATAATTACCGTGGCGACACTTTTTCCCGGATCGAAATAGCCATGCGCGTGAAAACTACTTTCGAACGGAATCAAACGTTCGCGTCAAGTTGACAGTTCAGTATGCACGCGTTGCCATAACAGTGACAGAATTTCCATTTCAAATCGCTCCGTTTACCTTTGTCCAGTGTTTATTTTCGCTCCGAAGTGTCTACAACCATCATCGTTTCGTCTTACACTTTATTCCAGTGAAATTCAATTCTTACGAGACTACGGACAAACGGACGGTCAATCGTTGCAACGATCGAATGTAATCAAGTCCCGAGGGGACAATGTAACCGCGTGATGCGAATCACGAAAAAGAAAACAGAAATGAATAGAGACCAGAGAGTATCATCGATACCAATCAACCATGCATCGAGCGTTGTTTCAAATGAAACGGTAATAATCGGTTGCGAGAAACGTTGCCTGTATGCATCGGCGTCGAATTAACACCAATTTATCGAGGTTGTCGATCTTTCTGCCATTGTTTACCCGATCATGCGGTACACCGACCGCGCGCCGCGGTTTAAACGATCGAGCGACACTCCCCGAACGAATCGCTGAACGTTGTCGACCGCCAACCGTCTGTGACGTGACCCTCGTGAGTGTCTCGTTGCTGGAACAGCACCGTCACGGTCACGTTTTCTCATTTCACGGCGATTCGTGCACGCGCGATTCTTGCGGATTTCCAACACGCCGAACGAACGGACGATTGAAAAGAAGCGAAGGCGGTGGTGGTGGGGCCTGGAAGATAGTCAATGCCGCGTGGCCAGGTCGCGTTTTCAGTGTCGGTTGTTCTTCACGTTCGGGATGATGTTTCGTCCCTTCCAGTCCTGCTGCCGCTTTCACACGAGCTGAACTAGCGTATCTCTAGTCCTTTTTATAGTTCTTTGAAGGCCTGAATCATCGTCCGAAAGTTTTCTTTTTTTATTGACTCTTGTCACAAGTGGGGGAATGGGACATCTATCTTGACGATTTTGTGTTGATTCAAACACGTTCATCACGGTTTTATTGAGACTCTGACAACATCGTCGGATATAAAATTAGAATCCAGGTGTTTCGGAGCCATTTGGGCTTGATAGTCTTGTGGAAGTTCATCCGCGTTACGGTATCTTGAGTCTTGTGTCGATGTAAACATTGTCTGGTGTTAATTAGGAATCGAACGAGAAGGAATTAAATTCGAATCGGCGAGTCGACTGGTGTACGCCACACGTGCTTCTCAGTAAGTAGCCCATTATTCCTTCATTGACTTTGTGTATTGTGTACTTTCAGCTTGGGAACAAGATAAATCAATCTATGTAAGAAGAGATTAATTGTAATTCGTGGTTATATATGCTTACTTCGGTTTTATTATCGTTAACGGTGTAGAAACGAAAGTACCGCTGACAGCGACTGACTTTGAAATTTTGTTTATAAACGCCTCGGTTATTTGCTTACCATGCACGCACGTTCCTTTCATCGTTTCGCTTTTTTTTATGACCGTTACTATTAACGTCTGCTATTAATATCTGCTTTGTATTATCAGGGATATGTTACGCAAATTGCATTCCTGAATTCCTCGGGAGCAGACTAGAAGCGACAACTGGAGGAATGACATTTCATATATACTTACCCACTCCGATTTCCGTTGAGTCACACGGGATGTGTTGCAATAGCGATAGAATTCTCTCTACTGACTAAGCGTATAAAAATTAGTTCATTTTTCATCGCGAACGATGAAACTTCAGAGATGAAACTTCTGATGCAATCCTCCGAACTATTGGAGATTTAGAAAAGCTTCCTAACCGGATTACCCAAGTGATACTTGAAAATATTGAATATAATATGTACAGTACACTCTTGTCTTGCTGTACCAATGCAGATACATATTATTGTTATTTTTCGTAATATTATTGTTCCACTTGGAAGAGTTACTTATTTATACATATGTAGATAAGAATTAAGAATTGAACACAGGAAATTATATAAACGGCTTGTAACCCGATTTATTAACTTTTTATCTCGTTTTTGATTCACGATAAAAGACGATTCAACGATTTCGTCGATCAGCGCAACAACCTGTACACACCGGTTACCATGACAAATTTCTGTCTGGCTGCATGTTAAATACAAATATAATATCAAATGATGAATTACCGTAAACAAAACTGGATTACGCAATATCAATGAGTATAGTGGCACAGAACGAACTAGACAATAGAATCGTATAATCTGAACACGTGGCGTTCCGCATCGATTCAAGCAGGAAAAGCGTCGCTAGAAATCGCGTTGATTTTAATACACGCACACACACACACCGAACTCTTTTCTTTGTAAGAAATTTGCACTCGCAGCGATGCGCTTCGTGTTCTTCAAACATTCTCCAAATACGCGTTGTATTCCATTCTTATTAACACGAATAATCGAGGACAGGAAAGATGACAAAGACAACAAGATACATTATTACAAGTGCAGACGTAATGATTCATTCTCTGACTCAAGAGAAATTATTATTACGGTATAAATCCGATCGATCATCCGCAAAAAGTAAGTTAAGTTAATTGTGCAAGCCGCTTCCTCGACGTGTACACGTTCTACACGAATGAATACCAAATTAGTTGTAAATTATGCACCGTTATCGGAAAGATATGATCGCTGAAACTACATACATATTTGCCATCCTTGAAACAATACTTATGGTTGTTGCTGCGTTAACTTAGATATTGTACAGGTCATCGGTAACACTTATTTTTAAGTAAGTCAGGAATTTCAACGTGAAACGAGTTCTGTAATCCTATTCTTTGGATCTGCAATCTAAAAATTGATCTTCTATTTGATATACTTAACGAATTTCAAAAATAATTTATAATTAACAGTGATCTGTCTTTTTTTTTTTACATAACTCGCGTACTTCGAAAAAGAGTACAGTCCAGAAAGAAAAAAAAAGGCGCGACATTCAAAAATGAAACGTCATGGTCGATTCGACGATGGTTTCTTTCGGTTTTACGCATGATTGGAGTTGCGACCTTTGCAAACTGATGAATTTTCAAGCGCGTTCGTCGAATACCGCGTATATGAGATCCGTGTCGGAATTTCATTGCGCCCTCGTAAGTCGTCCACAGGCTATTAAATTCTGGTTTTTTCATTCCCTTCGCCTTTATTGATCTGTGAACCTTGCTTATAAAAGACACGTCTCTGACTTTGAACAAAAGAAATATTCTTCTGTAATTCCCAGCGTGCACAATTATTCTTCGTTATACTCGTTCTTTTAATAAAGGCGCGCCGAAACCGATGGACTCGACGATATGACTAACTCCGACATTATTTAATTGTTGTTTACAAGCGTTAGAACGAGAAACTGGCGTTTAATTAGGGTCACCGATGGCCATTACGGTGTGCGCGGTTCTATGTATAAATGTGTACAAGTAACCAGCCTCTGTTGTCGACGAAACTAAAAAGATCGTTAGATCGTACAGCCTTGAGGAAGTTACATAAAAATGCAACAGATCTGCAACCGTAATTTCTTGCGTGAAATTGCTACACAGCGATTAACTTATTGCTCCAAGGGGAAGAAGAAAAACACGCATTGCGTTTGATCTTGAAATTTACGGTAACAGTTCTTTTTTTGTCGCTCGGCAGCGATTACATTGGTAGTCTTGACTAACAATTGCAATGATGGAGATGAGTTGCAGTTAATAGCTAAATCGTCGAGTCAATTTAACTGTCGTTTAATGCAGTCCATTAATTTCCATTAACATTTCAATGATTTACGATAGCGTAATTTTTCCTAACAAAGTAATTCATTGATCAGTTAACAGCCAATTTATAACCGTCAAGATACGTAGATCTACGTGTCTGATGCAATTAGCATCTGAATCTTGATTATGCGCTCTTTATCTTTCCTTATTATTTTCTTTATTCATTGGATAACCACGATTCTATTTCAGTACTTACATATATATGTATGTATATGTCTTAACCGTCTATGTTCCAGAATCTCAGGTGATCCTCAATCTTTTCCTCGCACAAGGAAGTTCATCCTGTTCGTTCGACTAGCCACCGGCCAGAAAAATGGAGGACACCCAGAGGTAACGAAATTGCAACGGCGTTATCATTGCGCAAACTAAAACCGCGTTCATCTATCAAGCGTCTAATAGGATGACAATAACAGCAACTCATAGTCACGCATTAAATTCTCAAACCTGTCTAACGGTCGCAGAAAAGGATCGAAACAGAAACGGAAACGAATCTGTTGTAAAGATAAAAATAGAAACGATAAAACCAATCATCGGGATTTCATGTTTGTACTCTATTCATTTTCTTCTCCATAACAACCTGATTCTTTGGTTTATATAAATATGTCAATTGTATCTATTACGCAGATACGAAGATCATACCATATATAAGACACGGTCACCCTGCCGGCTGCGAAAACTGAGAGGTAAAGGAACTCTTCAAGTTATACACCGTTAAAAAGAAAAAAAAACAAAAGAAATTAATAAAAACAGTCTGATAATGATTTCGACAAGTGTCGAGAGACGTTGAAGGATTTTTAAGTTCGTTCGAAGCTCGATCTACGAGACGACGTTGCACCAATCACATTCGCGTTTCCAGACATGGTCCCAGCGCGGGTGGTACTCTACATGCTCTCCTTCTCGGGATTCACCGTCTCTTTCATGATGAGAAACGACATCAACATCGCTATGGTGGCGATGGTCAAACAGCCGTCGACGACGTCAAATGATACCACTGTCGCCGTCACGTCTCAGTATTGTTACGCAACGCCGAACGCATCGTACAGCAACAACCACACGTTCGCCAACAACGAGGTAGATCGCGTACACATGATAAATTCACATTCCATTTGAAATATCGTGCATGTTTCTTATGGTGTGAAAACGATCGCCGCCATTATTACATTGTTGAAACCGCGAAATCACTCGTGGATCGCTTCTTCAAACGAATACTGTTTCCTTGACTTCAAATTTCTAATTCACAAAACGAAATTTCTCTTTTTATTACTACTCTAAATGAAAGAATAGTTTTTTTATTACTACTCTAAATGAAATAATAGTTTCTTATTACTACTCTAAATGAAATAATACTTTTTTATTACTGCTCTAAATGAAAGAATAGTTTTTTATTCGTTAGCAAAGGTTCAGTCAATTTACGTCTATCTTCGCTCATTTGAATCTTTAAGACTGGACAGAATAGCATGAAAAGATAGAAGATCGTAGATTGTAATTAGTTCTTTTAAGAAACGTTCAATGTCGATCGCTTTGCATACCTTATTATCGATCACCACGATATTGGTTACACGGGATTATGCCTATCAGAAGCTGACGTCCAGTAATTGAAAAGCGTGTTCACGTAACGTCACGTGTTTAATCGTCGCCGCGTTCTTATATATTGTAGAATCTTAGCGACAGCGGAACTCCATAATTGCCTTGGACTTCAGGGTTCGATAATTTGCACCGTTCAAATTGATAGAGCGATTAAAGTCGGCGAATCACGTTACGTAAAACACCGTTTATTCAGTGGAAACCGTCGAGCCACAGGCTCTCTGATCACAGACTGGCGGGAGGGGAGGAAGACAATGGCTCCACGGAACTCTTACGAATTCTGCAAACATTCGCAATTAATTAATTCGCGAAATATTTCTCAACGGCGCAGCAGTGGTAAAAGTCGACTTGCTAGCTGGACAAAACAATTTCCGCTTCGTCTATGGAACGGAATGGAGTATTTTGACTGAATATACATTTATTTGATAAAAATCGAATATAGAAAAGTAGGATTAGGATGAACGAGCGGCAGAAATTAAAATCACTTTTGATTATTTTTATCTAGTATCCATCTCTCACTTACTGCATGGTGAAAGGTTTTTTTTAAGCACTTTCAGTTTTTACGTTTTTTCCAGCCAGAAAAACCCATTTCGACCACTATGGGGCGCGATGTATCGCGACGATAAGCACTCAACAATTACGTCTCGTGATAATTTTTATCGATTCACCCGACTTTTTTTGGTCTCTTTAGTCATCGGCGAAACATTTCACAGCGCACATGTTTGTTTGTCGCGCAGGAACAGGGGGAGTTCGAATGGAGTCCGACTATACAGTCCGCCATCAGCGGATCGTTCTACTGGTGCTACATACTGTCGCAAGTGGTCGGCGGTGTGCTCACCCAGTATTTCGGCACCAAGACGGTATTCGGCGGGTCGCAGCTGATTACCGCGATCTGCAGCCTGCTAATGCCATCCGCAGCGGGAATCCATTATGGCTTTATGATCGCTCTTAGGAGTATACAGGGCATTGCGAGTGTAAGTTTCGGCGAAACAATGACTGGAAGAGATTCAACGAAGATGGATAGATGTGTTAGGGTTGAAAGAAAAGAATCGAAGAAATTTCGATGCTGACTGCCTCCGATCGGAACTATAGCTTATATTGCTTTCTGTTCAATTCGTATTAACCCTTTGCATTCAGAGCCTTTTTCCCCATGGAGAACTAAGCACTTCACCGTATTTTCAAAGACAGAATAAAAAAAGGTTATATAGGTAGGTAGGTAGGAGAAACAAAATTATTCTCAGAATCAGTAAAGAGATAGGACACTTCGTAATACTTCAATTACTCCCTCTGAGAAATGAAAATTGGAGTTCTTTAAGGCTTAATCCGGATCAGGCGAATCGTCTCTGAACCGACAAAAATCTGTGTGTTCACAGGGACTCACGTGGCCCGCAATGTACGCCATCGTCGGGCACTGGATCCCGCCCGTGGAACGTTCACGTTTCATGTCTTCCTTCCAAGGTAAATCTGCTTTTTCTGGTCGCGTCGATTACATTTTTCTTTCTGTATTACAGTGAAACATCGATACGTACGACGACAGCAATTTCGCGATAATTCGTATCTCTGTTCTCTCCGCCCCTTTCTGTATTTTTTTTTCTCTCTCTCTCTCTCGTACTATCTCTATTTTTCTGTTTTTATAATTTTCTCTGTTCGAAAGATACGGTTACTTCTATGGAATTACTAATGCACGCTTCTTTCAGACAAAACGGGAAAACGGAAGTTCGAATGAGAAGAGCTATGTACATATATCGACTCTCGGCTCCGAATCTCTCTTGTTTTTTCAGTCAAAATTCACGGTTCCCGGATCAAGAGCACATGTATCACAAGTCGATTACGAGAAACACGGTCTCTCATATCGATAATGCGTTCATTTCACTTTGTAACTCCTGATTGGTTCAAGCTCCACGTGGCTGCATTCGCCGGAGCGAGGGGTATACTCAAAACATATGCGACCGCTCAACAGCATGAGAAAGGCCGAGTATACTTCCAGCTGGTAGAATCAGCCGGGCTCGAGGAACACGTTTCCGTAATACTCTCTATTTTTTTCATCGTATCCTTGTATGTGTCGATGCTGCCCGCCACGGGGAAAATCTGTTTTACTTGTCTTTCTTTCTTTCTCTCTCTCTCTCTCTCTCTCTCTCTCTCTCTCTCTATGTATCTATCTCTGTCTCTTTGTTTACGACGAGCGATAATCCGATCATCCTTCTCACTCAAACTTTCCCAGATACACGGACACTGCGTGTGCCCGATCGATATACATACCGTGTTTTCACAGCGACTCACCGTTTTCGTCTTGTTACATTTTTTAAATCTTTTTTTTTTTTCGTTGCTTCAACGCGTCTTAGAAGTACGCGGGCTAGCCTTGGTGCGTGTAAACTCGAACATCCCTTTGCTGCTGTCTATAGTATACAAAATTCATAAAACACAATACATCCTTCATTTAATAGTTTTGAATATTGGAAATTCATCCATTATGAGATTCGACGTGATAGCAAAGGGATAGATGTTCTCAATACGATTCACCATGAAACGCTATACCGTGTTAATAGTCAAGACTGGATTTAAAGTGACAAATTTAAAATTGCTTCTTTTGGCTTCAATCGCATTGTCGACGAAATTCTCATTCTCCAGTGTGTTTTTATCGTGGGTTCGAAATGTGATCTTGAAATCCAGTGAGAAGTGTGTCGCCAGAGATGGGTAAAATTTGATTAAAAATATTGCAACTGGTAAATAGCCGGTCTAATTTCATTCGTTAATTCCATTCTTTTACTGAGATTTGTTCGACGATTTTTTTTCTGCCAATTTCTGGGGTCGCTCATTTTCGGGATCGGTACGCTTCTCTCCCGCTCTTGATATATTTTCAGGTATAGAAGTTTAATTGTCCCCACTGTAGCAGCTTCGCCGTGCGTTCATCCTCATCCCATCGTACTAAGTCTCTACTTGAATCGCTTTACAGGGTGAAATATAGAGCCACCGCTGAAGAGCGATCGTCGCCAAGCATGAAAATCGTACACGAGCCAAGGCGAGGCCCATTCGACAACCATCATGTTTCAGCTTCCTTCCGGGTCGTGGGGTGAGCCACTCCTAACATCTAGATTATCTATATTCAGGGTTCAGCTTCGGCATCGGGATAACCTATCCACTGTGCGGATTCATCATCGCTCACTTCGGATGGCGTCTGGTCTTCTACACGACCGGCAGCATCGGTATGCTCTGGTGCCTTTTCTGGTACTTCTACGCCTTCGATACGCCGGCCGCTCATCCGAGAATATCGCAGCAGGAGCTACGGTATATTCAAGGAAGTGTTGGAAACCAAGTTCACGGGACGAACGAGGTACCTTGATGGTTGTCGTTTCGTTTTTCGAAATACTCGATATCATGTAGGAACAAAACAGGATCATGAAATCTATGATTAGTTTGGATTATTCGTTTCTTGAGTGAGAATAGAATTAATTTGCTATTCAGGACTACTTTTGTCCCATCGTATAGATACATGAATGTCGTACTTCCACTAATATAAGATATTCGACTAAGTTATTTCTTTTCAATTACCTTTGTTCGATCTATACAAATCCTAGCACTTGTCCGTTAAGGTCTTTTCATATAGTCTCCATTCGCTGCAGCTCTGAAGTGATAGTGGAAATTCGGAATTAAATTTAGTCAACGAAATGTATAATTTTTTCACGAAGAGCATGCCAGTTCCGTGGAGGTCCATCCTGACGTCGTGGCCGGCCTGGTCGATCGGAATTACCACGTTCGGAAGGATATGGGTGCATTACATCTTCATTATCTCCGGACCAATGTACATGAAGACAGTTTTAGGATTCAGTATTCAAGCGGTACGTGTTACGAGGAGACTTTTGGAATGATCATCTAGGATTTTGTATTCATATAAACATTGATATTTCTTTCCAGAACGGTCTTCTCTCTGGTCTACCCTTTATCTGCAGTTACTTCAGCTCTGTCGCGTTTTGCTATATAGCTGATGTCCTCGTCACGCGACAGATCCTCTCGTTGACGAACGTTCGGAAGGTGTTCACTGCTGCCTGTGTGTATCTTCTCTTTAGAATTCGAAGCCACGGTTCTGTACGGTGTTGTATAACAAATCTTCTCCCTTTCACAGCTCAAGTAGTTCCTGGAATAATGTTGGTATTGATCGGCTATCTGGGCTGCAACGTCGTTCTCGTTTTAGTGGTGTGGTTCATAGCCGTCACCCTTATCACTGCTGCCTACGCGGGGGCGATGGCAAGCATCGTTGATATCGCGCCAAATTTCGCTGGTACGAAAACTTATCGTTATACTAAAGTTGTACTTATTCGACCACGTGTTTCACAGTCAACTGTTCGCAGGTCCGATATTGGCATTTGCACAGACAATTCACATGTCAGCGAGTTTCCTATCCCCGGTTGTAGCTGGTCTGCTTACCCAGGACAGCGTAAGTAGACAATTCTGTTTAAATCTATCCTCATTTATGTACTCAGTAGTACTTTGTACGTTTCGAATTACAATTCTTAGCTTACGATGACTAGTCAACTGTGCGAATGAAACATTGAACATATCTGGGAAAGAACAACTGCTACATATTTCCTTACACATTATTTTCGATTGCTATATTCAGATTTGTGTGTTAGTCAGATACTAAATTCTCCGTTTGTCCTCAAATCACGAGATTTCTATTCGTGTTTATAACAGAAACGAAATTTAAGTTTGCTAGATTAATTAACACTAGAATCTTCACCTTCGCGACGCGCCAGTAAACAAGACCAGAATCGTTCGTGATTTTTGTACCAGGAAATAATGAATAATTAATTTCACAGCAAGCCCTCGACGCGTGGAGGCAAGTGTTCGGCGTGACCGCATGCGTCGCGTGCGGCACGTACGTCGTCTATCAGATTTTCGGTACGGGTGACATCCAGCCGTGGAACTATCCCGACCAAAAGTATCCGCAATCCGTTCAGGAGGATTCGCAGCCGTTGAATGATTCCCCCCAAAAGAATGGGAAAATCGTTAAGTCGAACGTTACCGAGGAGGCGTAACGTAATTCGTCCTGGGAGGAGGATAACGAGAGGTGCCACGAGTCGCGATTTGTATTTGGAGCTAATTAGAAAATACTTCTCTCCTGGCTTCGAGGCCAACTCAGCCTGTGTACATGGGAAACGTCTATTTTTTCGTAACGTCCCCGAGTCCGTGTAAATATTTCCCATAATCCACGGTGGGAGAAGCGATATAGAAGTCAGGGTATGTACATTCAAACTTCTCTACAGAATATTTTTATCGCGATGTCGCGTTACGCTTCGATTTTTCTCTTCATACGTTCCTCGGCATAGCACAAATGCTCACGCAGCGTATTAGTTTATTTTTTCGATTTCGTACGAGTTGTCGGCTCGTTTATGTTCTCTCTGATCAAAACCTTTCTTTTGTGCCGAGAACACTAGATCATTATAGGTGGCCGAAAATTCGGTGGTCACTCGAGATCAGTGGCCATAAATGTACGATACGTCCATTGTCCCACCCGTGTTCGTTTCGGGCTAATCAGCTCGAGCGTTATCAAAGGAGTGGAAGAAGTGATCTCGAGTGACTAGTGATTTCCATTCTCGCCTTAGTAAAAAGATAAAAAAGAAGTGGATCTCGTAGAGGTACTTGGAAGCGAAAGTTCCCAATGTAAATGGACTATATTTTGAAGTTAGAAGAAATATCATTTGGAAAGTTGATCTCGCAAATATTCTGTCGGGCATAGAATCATTCAGTTGTTCGAACAGAAGACTGATCGACCTTTTCTTTTTGCAATACTGAATTACTATAAATTATATAAACTTGTTTAGAATTTCCACAAACTTATAACTTAATTTACGAATTCAAACACTTTTTGGGAACTAATGCTTCGCGTTGTTATTCGTTGATATGCTTTTCAGTGTATGTTAGAAAATGACGACGACTTAAGTTTGAGATTCTCCGTAGTTATCATTTCTTTTCGTTTAAGAAAAGTGTTGTTAGTCCGGAGGGCTTTTGTGTGTTTGGTTATGAGATCGTAAAGAGGTATCTGCCCTCTACTTCGTCGGTGATATATTACGAACTTGTTAGAATACGCCGTGTAAGAAATAGAAGTTCGTATAGATTTCGCGTGAACTGTACTTATGCCACATTTTCAGAACAATAGAATGGGGAAAGTACAATGTACAAAGAGAAAAGACAGAGATATTATATTACACTGATTAGTGCCTTACGTTAGGCACTGTTCTCGATGATTTTTCTATTTCTTCTGAGAAAGGGATCTGTTTCAACCGCGTTGAACGCACTTAGCTCACTTTACGTAGTACTTATATTTTTCATTATTTCACCATTAATTCGATCGTAATACTAGTCACTAATGGTTCGCGATCCGCGAAAAAAGCTGTTTAGTAGGAGAACGGGGAAACATTTCGTTCTTTCTGGAGCTGCTTCTCTTTCTGTTTCTGCCTTGCAACTTGATGATTCCATTCGTAAGATACACAAAGAAAAAGCTAAGAAACGATCTTTGCAAATATTGTTATTTTAATTATTTTTATACTACTCCCGTGTAGGCAGGATAAGCCACGCAGTTCTCCTTGTTCGTTATTTATAAGTACTTTAAGTTACAAATACTTAATACTATGTAGAAATTGAATAATATGAATTATTATCATGACACAAAACAACATGAAGACTATTCCTCGCATTGATATGCGTAGAAAATGGACACGAATTGTACATCTCCCACAAAAATTTGGTCATCGATTGACGATTTTCACTCGACTCAATGCGGATGAACGTTATATGTAACAATATCGTGTAATTATGGTTCTGCGTGTGTACAGTTCTGTGTCCGATATAAAAAAAAAATTGTAATTGATGAATGTTTTATTATAATCGAGAATTAACACACTTCACGGTTACTCAGAGGCACTTGCGACAAACTTAAGTGTCGATCGATTGTTGTCGGCGGACAACTTGGGAAATATCGATGGACCACGAGTGGTTTTCAAGCAAAACGCACCATTTTGTAACAAAATCGATTCAACGCCAGAAATTTTATGGCACGGATCATTCATAAAGATATATGTAAATGAAAAATATACGATTACATATAATTTCACTAACCTCTGTGTTTTTAATCCCAAAATAGTTTTTCTTCGCCGTGAGAAATCTGTGGTGGAAAGAACTTTTTATTTCGAACTCGTGAAATTTTTTGATAACGTGATCTCTATTGACGATCGATTGTATCATGATATCTGTATTCGGTATCCGTCAGATAACTCAGATCTGGTATGATGAAATATATAAGGGGATGTGCAATAAACAAATTTCCTACACGAAATTAATTGACGTTGGTGGATTCGAGGAAAACGGATATACTATTAGAACGGGGGAAGAACAATCAAAAGATAAGTCGTGCGAACGACCTAGCGGATTGATAAAGAGTCTCGAAAAAATGGCAATTTGCGCATTTCGTTTATCTTCTCAAGCTATCACGGCGGTATTTTTGCAAGCTGACATAAAGAAACGATACCGATGCCTCGTACTAAAGTAAATCGAATAAATACCGATTCTTTTAAAGGTGTCAGAAATTTGTGTCTAAATTCTCAAAAAGTAACGCTATTGTTATAAATGTTCCGAGTTATCTATAATAACTAAAAAAAGGCTTGCTTAAAATATTGTTTCAAATATTCTTAGATTATCGCAAATAATTTCGACAATACGTGGACGGATAAAAATGGAACACCCAGCATGGTCATAAAACAAATTTCAGCAGTCAATTGTCCCACTGATCTGCAAAAGTATCGTGGCTAGACTTAAGAAAAATAGCCTTGAAACTCCCACGCTCGCGTTCGTGACAAGTTCACCAAGAATAGCATTCACCAATCTGGCGTCTAACAACTTCCGCGAACGAGCTTCCATGGATATTCTCAGCGTCCGCCATTAGACCAGTTCTACACGAATCCGTTTACTCTACCACCCACGAAAACCTGCGACGAAAATAATCGCTCTATTCTGAAACGAAGAAAGCACATCACCACCAAGGAACAAAATTCCCAAACCCTTCGTTAAAATATTATATCATATCGAGTCGCGATTAACCAACGTGATACAGGTATCTTCTATGGTCACCTGAGCGCAAGACGTCAACGAGACACGATCATCTACAATGGCTTCTCGAAATTACCTGCGGGATAAACCGTTTGTATGTTTGCTACAAAATAACATTCCCATTGAGTGGTTTGCTGACGTCAAAGCTCGCAAGTACGCAGATTAGATATCAAACGACCTAAATATCTCGATTCGCTTTAGTCGGATGATAGAAGCTGCCGCGCGAGAAACGACGTGGCGAAACGAACAATAAAGGAAAAATAAAAAAACAGAAAAAATAAAACTGATGACCGTGGAAAATTCTATGAATGAAAACAGGACGAGAGTCCGTTGTTTCCGGAACAGGTGACAATCCACCTATCCGAATGAAGATCAAACGCTACCGACGCGACGCTTGGACGAAGAGAACGACCGATCCTCGCGCGCTCGAACTTCGAACTCTGCGCCGTCGCGAACGACACGATCCGCGTACCTATTGGTGATCGATTTCGATATCGGCCCCAATATCGCCGCGATCCACGTCATGAATGCGCTGGATAGTGCGCGCGTGTTTATCGAGATATCAACGGAAGGACACATATAAGATATAAGGAGGGGGACCAGCGAACGGGATAGTCAGTGTTGTGTTGAATCGTGATCACGAATCATACTTGATCTATAAGCCAAAGTGAATCGGGAGCAAGACGAAAATGCGGTGAGATAAATATTTTGGTTCCCCAGTGGGTTCTGGACGCCATATCAAGGTTACACGTTAGATTAATATTCTGATTTTATTCAGGATCTGGTTACTCCTCACTGTTCTTCTGATCGTCACGGTGCTGGCCGCCGAGACGTTCGCGAAGAAACCCGGCAAGGAAGTCGAATCAAAGAGCAGTCATAATAAGAAGAAGAGGGACGTTGCATATTCGAAGTAAGTAGTACACAGTCGTCGATGCGAACGTAACAGATTCCGGTGGATTCCCGATAGCGGTTACGCAACTGTTTCCGTGATCGTATTATCTTCGGGAATGGACTTTGTCTTCGGAAATTGATGTATACCGCGATCGATTTGGTCGTTGCAGGGACGAAAAGTCGAAGGATGCTGGGAACAAAAAGGTCGAATCAAAGAAGAGGAAGAGTAGCTCGTCCGAGGGCAAGGAAGCCGAGGGTAATAACGTTGAGGGCAACGTGGAGGCAGCTGAATCCGGGAAAGTATCGAAATCGAAGAACAAGAAGTTGAAGGGGAAGGAAAATGTTGATCCCAAAGAGAAGAGCAACGTAGCAGCGAAGGATAAAAAGAAGTCGAACAAGTACACGGCGGAGGCGCAGGAACCCCATCAAAAGAATTCCAAGAAGAATCAGAAGGACAAGAAATTGAAGGATAAATCGAGTGTCGAGGAACAGGGTAACTTGGAGAGTAAGAAAGCGAAAAAGGAGGGTAAGAATGCAGGAAAGAAGGAGAAACCGGTGAAAGAAGACAAGAAGAAGCTTCGGGAGAAGAAAAAGCAGGAGGAACCAGTGGCGGAAGTTGAAGAGGAGCCTGTAGAAGTGGAGGAACCCGAAGTGAAGACCCAGTCGAAAAAGGACAAAAAGAAGCAAGAGGAAAAAAATAGGAAGAAACGACAGGTGGAACAGGTGGAAGAAGAAGCGTTACCTGAGGAGGAACTGGAAGTTGTAGAAGTAGTAGAGGAAGTAGTAGAGGAAGAAGAAAATTGTCAGAAAGCCGACGAAGGTGACAACAATGAAGAATTGAACGGCGCGCAACAGTGCAATGAAGCGTGATATTCTAGTATTCGATAGAATAAATCACCATTTAGTACGTCATATTGTATCACTCAACCTTCATCGATAGGAAAATATCGAAACACCAATCTTTTGAGTTTTTGTGTAAGTCGTTAGTGTCTGTTATCGTTAAGACTAACACAATTCCAGGTTGTTCGCGAGAACGAAATGACGTATCATCGACGAACCAACCACTATAAGAACACGTTATATTAAATCTTATTTATTTAATTTCTATCCACAGTGAGTCATAAACACAGACGCAACGTCGTTACATGCTTTATGTACAGATAATGATGTTCTCGATGTTGTTATCGAAATTCTTAAGGTTAACAGCCTCCGACGAATAGAAACGTATAAACACACACGTTATAGGTCACCCTATGAAATGTACGTATAATATTTCGACGAATAAATACTTTTGTAAATCATTCGTACTGTGTGTCCTGTGAGCTTGGAAATCCACGAAATATTAAGCTCGTCCCTTGAACGTCATTGACCAACCTGTTCCAATGTTATTCACCGTCGATGTGTACGACACGACTACTCTGTCTCGGTTGGCCTCGAACGGCGCTGGGTCATCCTGCAGGGGAAATAAATCAGCGATTAAGGTTCGTTCATCTCGAGAAACAAGTTCCATTCTTATCTTGTCAAGTGGAATTGAGACAATCTTTAAAAGAAATTCTTATTCTTATATAAATTTTTAACTAAACACGTTAGCGCCCGAATTTTGGCCTCTAGGGTACTTAAATGTCCGCCTGTGGCACAAATATGCGACAACAGGCGCCAATTTGTTAATAGGGTGATTGAATAGTGTTGTCGAATTTATTGGTATTACCCCTCCGCAATAAGTATTGGCCAGAATCAGTTCCCCGTTCATCGAGACGTCGTAAATCTTCAAGCTGTTGGCTTTGTTCTCGCAAACGTTACTACTGCCGATGTCGAACACGACGAACTGCAGAACCACCTTCAGGCCACGCGGCACGCTCACGTCCCAGGCGCAAACCGAATTGTTGCGGTACTCGTTCGGGAACATGGGTGACGTAAACGATCCCGCGTAATTGTACAATCGACCACCACAACCGCGTCCTAGGTGTCGTTTATGTTTTTCGTTAGAGTAAATTCGTTATGGTAACAAGACTGGCAGTTCACTCTAGGACACATTTATCCTGTGTCGAATAATAAAACTATTTTCGACTTTGCATACCTTCGTCCGTGGTCGTGTAAGTGATGTCATAGTACTCGTATATGCTGTGCCATTCGGACCAAGAATGTAAACTCAGCTTGTTACCGGTACTAAAAATGGGACTGGGTAAATCGACGCCGCAATACGTTGCCAGAAGTTTATCACCGAAATTGCCTTCGTAAATCTGCACAAGAGAACAAAGAATTCGAATTGGAACTGTACACTGAATGGATACGTGTTACTATGGCAAAAGAGGGACAACTTGCCTGAATGGAGGACTTGGTGCATTGATCAGGATCGTAAAGCATGAACCTATTGAAGTATAATGAAATTGTGTGATTGACCGGCGCCGTGATCGTGACCCAACAGTCCTTGATACCCTCGTGGATGATTCGACCCTGCTGTCTGGTGTAATTTCGATCGCAGACAGCGTTCACGAATTCGAGTTTGAAACCCCTGTGGCCAGGAGTGTTCCCCTGGAATCTCACCTCGACTTCGTTGCTGTAGCTGTAGTAAACAGTAAAACAATATTCTTTTATTCTTGACAGTTTTTTTTATTGCAATCGCGATTGGACTATTGATTTCGGTCACCTGAAGTAGTCGTGAGGCAACGTCTTTCCGCAGTACTTGTACGAGGTCGTAGGCGAGTGGGTGTCCTGCAAAATATTTTGTAGAAATTTTTTGCATGTCGAAACAAAACTTTTAACATATACATATAATTTAGTCACCATATATTCGGAATAACGATCAGAGCCGCCCCAAATGAAATTCTCTCCGAAGCCATCGTCGATATATTTTCGATTCTACGGAAACGACATCGTATACATAATTCATATTAGTCATCTGAACACATTTACGGACAAAAATATATACTAAATAACGTACCGTTGGATCGGTAATTTCGATGTAGTCGGTGTCACATCGAGGCGTATTAGCCAGGTCGAAGTCCAGGAATTGTATCCTCGTTCTCTCTGCATTCTCCAACGTCCACCGCAACAGCCAGCGACACTTTACGCCCGCTCCGTACGAGTTAGGGTAATGCGGCGAAACGAGCACGTGCTTCGTTTCATTTACCATTAGGGTAGCAACGCCGCAAAGCCCTGAAACGATTAGATTATCCTTGATCAGGCTCTTCGTTACGATTAAATGAATTACTGTCCTCCATGAATAATCCAGTGTTCTACCGTCAATGGCTTCCAAGGTTCCGCTGACTCCGGTTCCTTCCACCGTTCCGTCGCTGAAGAAACGTATCCAGAGCGAGTTCGAAGAGGATAACACAGGAGCCGGCAGCTGATTACCGCAGTATTTTCCCAGAAGTTGGGATAAGGGGTTTGCACCATCGCGAATCTAAAGAGACAGAAGTTTGCATAGTATTTCCACCTTTCACAATGATTCACAGAGGCTCCAGTACTTTGTGACGATTGTTGTGTAAGGGATGAAAATTTTCCACTGCTAGTGGACTTATCGATAAAGCTATACCTAGCAGACCCTGCTTTTCGATGGTCGGTTAAGAACAGTATACCTATATAAAAACCGACGATGGATTCGAGGAGCTGTGGAAAAGGTATTAACTTAGGAATCCTCTAATGACGAGTACAGGAAGTGCCGCCACAATACCATTATAATTGCTAAAGATTACAAATGATGGAAAAAATAGAGAAAGATACGACGGATGCTTTACCTCAAGATAGTCGCCTGTGCACTTGTCACCGCTACTTGTTTTGTTCGTTGCGTTCCTAACATCTATACTGTTGAACGTGAACTTGATGTTCTTTCCCGGTGACGCTATCACGTTCCATTGACAGTCCTCCAGGCTCTCGTAAGTGGAGTCCTTCTGCGTTCTGAACGGCAACGTTGTCGTCGAGGTCAAATTGACGGTACCACCGCAACCCGCTTGGATGCTCTTCACGAACAGCACCTAGGATATTTTCCATATTCTCATGATAAATCCCAGGTGGCTGAAGATTAAACCAGAATCTAGGTTATAAGGGGTACCTTGGCGCTAAAACCGCCGAACTGTCGGTTTATATCCGACGTAAAGTAAACGACCATAGAGTTGTTCGTGGACTTGAAGACGGGCAATTCGTTGGTCAGGTTGCCGCACAGCCTGACTAGTTTATTCTCACTGTCCATTTCCGGGCCATTATAAATCTCCACGCTGTCGTATGAGCATCTACGGAAAATTTTTGTTATTTATAAAATATTCTAGATTCACCACTAGGTTCTAGATGGTTTCCAGTCACCTATAACTGTGTTCCAATATAAAACGCTCGAAACGAAGTACGACACTTTTGTCCGAGGGTGCATGGATGGTCCATGTGCAGCTCAAGCTTCCGAAGTACTCCTCGTTTCGCATCAACGGACTGATCTCTCCGGGTGCTGTCATCGTTCCGCCGCAGGCTTTTGAAACAAACAAGAATAAGAGGCGAATATTTAAAAATAAAAGTGAGCTATCGAAATTCCAAATCGCAACTTATCGCGTACATTTAATGAAGTACTTGAACACGAAGCCGTTACGTTCGATGTACGAATCCGTACGGAAGAGAATCTCCACCTTGTCGCTGGACTTCAAAGTGGGCGGTTTGGTGTCGCCGCAATAAATGTTCTCTTCTCTGCCATACCGGTCGTCCCATACGATGGTCACGTTGTCGAATCGACAGTCTCTGCGACCTAAAAACCCACGCGTGTCCATTCGTCAAAGTATAATTCACACCCTTAGTTGTTCCGTTGATTCGGAATCGACTTGTACGAATAGTGGCTTACTGCGTTCGAGTTGGAACTCCATGAACTCGACGACAATCTCGTTGCCAGGCGAGACCACGGTGTAGTTACAGAATAAGTTCGGTTTATAGAAATTCGGGTACGATGGAGATTTGATTATGCTCGTTTTCGTGGTTGCTTCGAAGATACCGCCGCAGTTCTCGTGCCAGAGGGCCCGGAAACCATCCCCTTGGATCTTCTCGTTCGAGTGGAAGGTGACCTTCATGCGATTGCTGGTCGAGTTAAACGGTGGTGGGGTGTTTCTGCCGCAGACTTTTCCCTGGTCCCTCCAATTGCGGCCGTTTGTTCCGTTCACCCAATCGAAAATCTTTATAGAAATCAGGGTTGTTCATTTAGAGACGAGAGACACTTGGATCGAACTACATTTCCGTTGATTATTGTAATCGTTAATGTCAGAATTCCGAAAACAAAAACAAAACACCTTTTGTACAAAGAATTGTTCTCTAATGTATTCTCTTTTCACACCAATGAGATAATCGATTAATTTTTGGGGCACCTGTATGTAATCGTTCTTGCAGTTATCGCCACCCTCCAAGTTGAAACGATCGACGAAGGCGAGTCCCACATGGTAACCGTTGTCCGCAGTTATTTCCCACGTACATTCTGCGTTGTTTGGATATTCCTTGGGGAAGCTACAAATTTAAATGAATTTTATACGATCATAACGTTGAATCTGTATTGTGTATATTTTTCATAAATACGTGATTTCAATTACTTGGGGGACGAGATCTGCCTGCTCTTCCCGCGTAGAGCGCCACCGCAACCGTTGTTCGCCGGCTCGACGATGAATTCGAAGTCGTTCGGTTCGGCTTTAGCGAAATACTCGATCCACAGTCGATTCGAAGTGCTAGTTATATTGTAAGGTTTGATGTTCCCGCAGAATTTGCTGATTTCTGGTGAGAGTGGACCACCGTTTCTAGAAACGAAAATTCAATACTATTGGATGAACAATTACGGTAGTTTCGATGTACAGATTCCTCTCGATTATTGTCCCGAACTCGGGTCCGCATTGGGACAATAGTTTTATAGGGAGAAATGCCTGGGAGATAACGCCTGGACAATAATCGTGTAGAACAACCCAGATGATAATCGAGAGGTGTCTGTAATTCGTAAGGAACCGACATCGTCCTATCACTTTCTTACGTTTTTTAATGACACCTTTTTTGTCGATTTGACATTGAATATCCTATTAGAGGGCATGATATAGATAAAAAATAATATAGAAAGTCCATTAGAATACCTGACACTGATGTAACTCTCCTCGCAGGCGCCTATGTTCAACCTCGTGAAACTTAATTTTATTAATTCCCCGGTGTCAGGATAATCGGCGCTCCAGACGCAATTTATCGGGTAAGATATGTTGTTCGGCTTCCGTATGACGTGCGATTCTCCTTGCAAAATGCCGCCGCAAGGCTGCCATTCATACTGGATATCGTAATGCATCGGTTTCCCGAAAGTACCGTTTAGGGCCTGAAAGTACCATCAATTAACAGTTCACCTTCGTTCTATGTTACATTACTGTTTTTCGAAGATACTTACGATCACTTCGTTCGAGAGCTTAGGACTCCTCAGGTACATCGGTTCCGAGAAGTTTCCGCATATCATACCAATGTCTACCGAATTGCAAGTCGTTAAATCATAGCCGCGCGATCTGTGTTAATGTGTACTTAAAAAGATATTCGTGAGCTCACCAGCTAGCGAAATGTATTGGAAATTGTAGCAAAATCTTGTGTAAACGTAGCCCCGTACTCCGCCGACGAAACCAGTTACCATGATAGTCAGCGTCAATCCGTTGTTGTTCCCATTGTTCACTAGACTATCGGGCGCTTCCATTCTCCAAACACAGTAGTAGGATGATGCATTGAAAGGTTGAACTATCGGGGCCGTCAGATCACCTTTGACTGCTTTCACGACTCCACCGCAGGCTGAAAAGTAAGTATACGGTGATTCAGAAAAGGGTGAGAAGCCGTGAAAACATTGAGAATGTCACGCTACGTTTTTTTCGTGAATATTAATACGAGTACGATTAACGTATGGTGATAATATATGACTAGCTCTATTTAGCATCAGTGACGAAGAATCTGTGTCGAGGCGAATCGTAACATAAAACCCTATTATTATTAATCTTTTTGGTTAATAGTAAAAATCTTGGAAACCTACGAGCCGGTGCTGCAGCAGAGTAACGGAGCTTGAAGCCACGGTACCCAACGGATGACGAGTACCCAATCATCATGGTGTTACTGGAACTCCTTATCTGTTGCGTTGTGTCATTCTGATTTAACACTTTTATTCTGGACTTGAATTTGAAGTCGTTGTAGAACTGAAAATCGACGAAAGTTAGAGAAGCAGTGTGTAGAAGATAGTTAATGGAATGTATAATTAATAATTCGATTAATGATCACCGATAGCATGTAACCGATTCTGCCGGCCCCAGAAGCGATATCTAAATCGATAATATCAACGACCACTTGGAAGCCAAGCGGCAACTTGATTCTCCAGTCGCAGTATCTGCGAAACCACGAATCGATGTAGGTGATTACAAATGGAAATTAACGAAGTTCTTCGGACTGTATTACCTACCTAGCACGTGTCGCAACGTTCGGGTATCCGTTCGACTTGATTATACCAGACATCGCGGTCAATTCACCCCCGCAAACTGCGACAAACGTATTACATTGTTCAATAATGATCGAAAACTTCGCGAAACCGACGAAATGTGGATTTACATCGATGGACTTACTTCCTTGACTGGATGTGAAGTTCAAACTGAACCCTCTGTAATTATGATACTCGAAGTTGTCGCTTTTAAACTGGATTACGGCTTGGTTCGTCGATGTCTCGATGATTCCAGGCTTTTCGTCGCCGCAGTATAGTCCGATATTGGTATCTGTACGATAAAGGATCATTTAAAAACCGAGGCTCGTGTGAATATACAGGATAAATGTTTTCGAGAATGCTTTTAAGGCACGACGGTTAACACTTACTCGTTTCATTTTCCGGAAATTTCTCGCCGATAACCACGTGATCGGTCGCTTCGCAGGTGAAGCCCATAGGTAGATCTATGTCACGGAATTCCAATTTAAGGGTGTGATCGACAGGCGCTATTATCCACCACTCGCAGGTCTGATTCTTTTTATAGAAGAACGGATAATTTGGTGAAACGATGAGGCCAGTGGTACCTCTGATGATTCCTCCACAGACTTCTGCGAGTTAAAGAAGATGGTGTTGATCGATTTCACTTTTAGTGCATCTCGTACAAAAAGGTTAAAGTGTTCCAAAGACTCAAAGATGAAACAAATTCAATCGAAACAAACCTCCGACAGTGAGCGACGCTTTGAAACCATTCTTCGGTTCCGGAATGTCCGTGTAGAAGTGAATATACATCATATTTCCGGCGCTTGACATTGTACTGGGCGCTACGTCTTTGCAAAATCGTCCAAGCAGCTTCGAATTGTCAGTTAAACCGTCTCTTATCTCGACGTATTCCCTCTCGCAACTGAAATCCAAATTTTCACCCTTTGTAATCTTGAAATTTTTACTCCGATATTTTATTTATTTTGAGGATTTAATGCTGTACGTGATTAAAAGTATTAAATACTGACTTCGGATAGTTGCTCAGGTCGAATCTATCAACGAAGTGAATGGATATCCGTTCTCTGTTCGGTGCCATTATTTTCCACGTGCACTCCGTGTACGGCGGTGGAATATTCGGATAGTTTGGCGTCGAGATATCTAATTCGGTGCCCTTCAGCTCGTACTCGCCACCGCAATCCATACCCACTTCTCTGAAATTTATAGAAATCATCGTACCAAGTCGCGTATATCTGAACAAACACGTGCATCGCGATACGCCGAAATGTTGAGAGCACCCTATGATTTACCGGTACGATAGCTTGAAATGGAGTTTAATTCGAGCAGCGAACAATTTCACGTAAAGCCGATTTCCAGTAGTCATTAGGGTTGGGGGCGTAGAGTTAGGGCAATATTTCCCATCGCCCAATAAGGATGACGTCGATCCATCGCCGTTCTTCAACTGTGAAGAACGTTTGGCTAATCAATAAAATGATCACCTCTACATACTTAGATTATAACACTTCTGTCATCTGAACCACTCACGAGCACATAATTATCAGTACAGCTCAACTCTGCTCCTGTCGGCATCGAAGTGACCGTCACTTCTATCGTTCGTCCAGGCTTCACCTCGACATTCCACTCGCACGTGATCTGCCAAACACGCATTCCTCTGGTCACGGCACTGGGATCCACCTTGATCTCTCCGTTTGGACCGCCCAGTTTACCGCCGCAATCTATATTTGAAATTCAATCACGATTATTCCCTTCCTGTCAGAAACGATCATTTCGATTGACAGTGGTGGAAAATAATATTTCATATTGGATCTCACGTTCTTGTAAGAAGTTTGTATGTCAGTTTCCAGGTACATTAGGACCGAACATTCGTTCGTCGCAAAGTGTAATACGATTCTGATTACCCTGATAGGCGTAGGCGCTGAATCCCGTCTTGTTTACGTAGCCATCCGACTCGAACTTAACCGTCATCACGTTGTCTGCGTTCACCTGTACCAACGAGCTGTTCGAGAGGCACAATCGTTCGAGCAACTTCGCGTTCTCAGGTGCCGACAGAGCATCACCGTTGTAGATCGAAAGCGCGTCAGCGACGCAACCGTTGGTCTCTTCTAGATCCAGAACGAGAACCCTCAGTACCAAGTGTGTACCTGGTGGTGACGTGAACACCCAGGTGCATTGAAGATTGTCCCCGTATCCGTTCGGCCAGCCGGGCGACGTGAAGTCGAAGCTTTTGGTGGTCGTCAGACTCACGATTTCGGTGCAGTTCGCCACTGCAATCATGTATTTCACTCGGGTTACACTGGTGTCAGATTCAACGAGCATTTCTCGCGATAGGTTTTTTTAGCGATATTACCTTTACCAGCGGTATCGACACCCTCGGTGTCTCTTGGTATTTCGAGCCACACCAGATCGAACCAGCTGCCCGATTGCACGACCACCGTGGCCAGTTCTATGTAAGCGACGTTGGAAGTCGTTGTCATCGGCTGGGTAGGTTCGAGGGTGCAGGCTTCCAATAAGATCGGAGCCTCGTTGTTGTAACCGTCGTAGATCTGAACAATTTGATACACATTTAGCTTTTTTCCCGTGGCTTCGATTCCGTGGATTGGGAAAAATTATTTTTTAAACACAATTTTTAAATTCAACTTTATAAAAAGAAAAATAGGTATATACTATGGTATTATATTTATCCTCGTTTATTCGGACACCTTTCCGCCCCCCCTGGAAATGGAATTTCAAGAAACCCTGAAATTACTTTCCAGGCACTTGAATAAGTAGCATTTTAAAGTAGTGATATCTCATCCAGACTAAGAGAAGGTAAAGGTATCCAGAAAATACATTTTACCCATTGTCAACCCTTCAGGGGTTGAACTTCAAAAAAGTGAATAACGCCGTCCTAAGGGGGAGCTATCTCTAAAATTTCATCTTTCTAGGTTTAGGTTGTGTGTTGCTAAATCAGTCTGAACTTCTTCTTTTATACAATATGCATATAATCAACATCTTAATGAATCAGACGTATCAACGTACTTACCCTGAGATACGAGTAGCAACCGGAGCCCGAGTTCTCGATGAACATATCCTTGATTTCGATTCTGATCACCTGTTGGAATTTCACGGAGATACGCCAGGTGACGGTGTCTTGACTTTTGAACGGTAACGGATAAAGGGGAGACGTGATTCGTCCGGTGGGCCCGGTGAGCTCGTTTCCTCCCTCGAAAGTGTACTCGGCCACGAAACCCTTCGCCACCCCGTCGCCGTCGCTTTTGAACTTGATCCACAGTTTCGTCGAGGATCTGATCGGCTCGATGCTGGTTCCACAGTAAACGCCGATCAGCTTCCCGATCCCGTCGTTCTCCCGTATCTCGAGGTAATCGAGGTCACAGTTCTCGCTGCTCTGGATATCGAACTCGGTGAAGGTGAGCCTGAGTTTGTTTCCGGGCGAGTTGTTCAGGATATAAATGCACTCCGAGTTCAACGGGTAACTATTCGGATAGTCTGGCGACGCGATTTTTCCGTGATAGGAGGTGTAGGTACCACCGCACGCTGAAAATTCCGTGGACACTCAGTATCGTGTTTCTGTACGATGAAAACTGAATGTAACAAAAGGTACGATCGAACGTTTACCTGAATTTAGGACAGAGTACGTGATGGCAAAATGTCCTAGGAAGTTGTACAGCGCGTATAAATGCACCGTGAGTGCGTTTCCTGTGCTCGTTATAGGCAGTGGTACCACGTTATCGCAATATTTCCCTAAAGAGGGCCCATCCACGCTCTGTCCTTCGTGCACTTCGATATAAGAGGACGTGCAGTCAACACTGAGCCCGTGAATCAACTCCAAACTGATTTCCATGTGCGTGAATATCAAGGTAACATGGTCCTCTGTTAAAATACAAAATGAGTGCTAAGAATGTCTTACGTTTGTAATAGTTCCCTTGTCAATGTTTTGAAAAGGACCCGTATATTCCTATGATGTATCTTCAGCGTTCAACGTATCGTATGTAAACACTCACCTGGATCCTCAGCGATCAATGTCCACGTACAGTTCTCGACTAAATCGTCGATTATGTTATTATGGGTCCAAGTTGGCGTCAGGTATCCTTGATCTTTGACGATCATACGTGCACCGCAAGCTGTCGTGTACATCGCTTGGAATCCCTTCGCCGACACGATGCTATCGGACTTCATTACAATCAACATTTCATTCGCGCTTGAAATGAAGGAAGGTGGTAACGTGTTTCGACAGAGAGTTGCCATTAAAGGTGAGTTCCTTGTTGCTCCATCGTATATCTGGAAAAATTCGTAAACAACAAAACAGAAAATTGTACTCTGAGAATGTTCCTCAACGTGGTACAGTATTCTTAACACGTATATTCTCAGTTTACCTGAACATAATCGTCCGTGCAGTTCACGCTGGCTTCGAGATCAAAGTCCAAGAACGTGACGTTTACGAGATAGTTCGGGTTCACCTGCAGCAACCACTCGCAGTTCTGTTTTGGCGGATAATTCTGCGGATAATTGGTGGAATGTATAAATCCAGCATCGGCGGTGAATTTACCACCGCAAAGTATTGGGACGCTTTTGTAGCTGATATTGAAACCACGGGCTGCGTACGATATATCGGAGTGGAACAGCAAGAACATTTTGTTCCCGAAACTGGTGTACACTACCGGCTTCTCCGAATAACAAATCTCGACCAACTTTAGCCCCTTGTCGCTCTCGCCGCTGTAGATTTGAAGTTTGTCGAAGAAACAGCCCTTCTGTTTCTCCGTGTGGATCTGAAAAAATTCACGAAAATTTTTCGGTCACGTATCATGATCTAGTCCCCTCTGTTGAAAATAACATTTCAACAATTTATAGAAGAAAATAGTCTTTCTGTCGATCGTGTTCCCCTACATTTCATATCGATACTCACATCGTGAATAGTCAACTCGATGCTGTGCATGTAATCGACCTCGATCAACCATTCGCAATCGACGTTCGTGGGATAGCTAGACGGATATCCCGGTGACGTGAACGAATCTGACGGTTTCGTCAGGTGTCCACCGCAACCGTCGACCAACCACTCCAATCGGAATCGGATCGGAACCGGTTGCGAATCGGACATGTATTTCACGAACACTTGATGCTGCGCGGAATGAATCTTCTGCGGAAGAGTGTCGTTCGAGTTGCAAAGCGCCGCCAGTTGTGTGTTTGGAATATTGTCTTGGCCCTCCTTCACGTCCAAGAAGTCCCGACACGGGCCATCCGCCTCTGGCCTGTCGATATCGAAATGCGAGAAGGTCATGTTGACCTTGTTCCCGCGGGGCGCGTCGATGATCCAGCTGCAGTTCAGGTGCTGCTCGTATTTGTCGGGGAAATTCGGCGACTCTATCACCCCGTAGAAACCGTGCAACGTGTTCTGACACACTACGAAGAAACAGGATCTTTAATATGAGCTTCATAGGAAAAAATCATGTTGGGTATGGACTTGAAATTAGATCGTCGAATCCCTATGATTCATATAGACGATCTTCAATATGGCTTTGTCGTAGAAAGAGGAATCACGTTGGATCTGGATCGAGAGCTTTCAAGCTATCCATTCAGGACCCTCAAATTTCTATGATCTGTACGCATCAGATCACGACACAGTAAGTTGAAAATTTCATTAAGCCAAGTTCAAATATTGTGTCACGTTCAGGATATCCGATTGGATTCAAAATCCAATAAAAAGGAGAAGTGTCCATTTAAAGGGACAGGTGTGTGCACCTCAAAACCGGCCGATATCGGATTCGCTTAACGAGTAAACTTTAATGCGATCCATATGGGAATCAACTCACGTGTTTCGTACTTCAGATGGAAACCATGACCGGAATTCGTGAAGTCGCTGCGGAATCGAACGGTCATCATGTTCGACTTCGCTTGAATGACTTTCGGATAAGGATTGCCGCAATATCGCTGCTTGTTGTTGAGATCGAGACCCTCGTATATCTCGATGTAGTCGAATCTACACTTCTCGTGATGCTCGAGATCGAGGTCGACTATCAACAGTCTTATCAAACTACCCGCCGCGACGGCGATCTTCCAATAGCAGTCCGCGTGGTGCATGTATGACTGCGGGTAATTCGGCGATACGATATCGCCGCTGGCGGCGCTCATGGTTCCACCGCATCCTGAAACCGTCGAAAAAGACGTATTGCCAATGTTACCGGAACTGTCACGTAGCCAGAATATCGTGCTTTCGTTTCTGGAATCCCCCTTTGCGCGAGAAATACGTGACGTTTTACAAATTCAAACGCAAAGGAGAGAATTTGATGTCTTAGGAACTGATCAGAGGGTTACGTTAATAAGTTGGTTGAGAAACAATACTCAATTCAAGGGATTAAGCTGTAATGAAGGATCAAGCATGCTTATCGTGCGTGGAATAATTAGACCGTTAAGCTCTAGTATAAATTCATGCCTAAATAATCATAGACGTCTTTGCATCAGCGCAAAAGTCGACAATTTCAAGAGATGATAGTGTTTATTTCATTACCTCTCGTAGTACTGTCCCACTCGATGCTAAATCCAGGATACTGTCTCGATGAATCGGATACGAACTTTAAATACAATTGATTGGTTTGACTTATGATTTGCGTGGGGATGTCTGTTCCGCAGTATTTGCCGATTAACGGTGATGTCTCGTACCCACCATTCCTGTGAACGAAAAGCAACGGAATTATATAGACAAAGCCATGTCACCAAATTCGTCGGTTATTGCAATTTTACCTGATCTCCAAATGGTCGAACACGCAAGACGAGTGATACTCCAGCTCGAAGTTTTGCACGTTCAGAATTACCCGTTGCCTATTCGGCGCCTCCACCACCCATACGCATTCCCTTCTGTTCGGATAACGTTCCGGATAACCCGGGGATTTAATCATACCGTTCAATTTAATGAAATGTCCACCGCAGACCTTCGAGGCGTCGATGAACAGATACGTAGCGACGAATCCGTCGCGAGCTAACGTCGAATCGGAATGAAACATGACGGTCATCGTGTTTCCTTGCGACATCATTATCGGTGGATGCTTCGACCCACAGAAGCTAAGGAACGCACACTTTTACAAGTAACAAGCAAAAATTGTACTCAGTTTTAAAGAATTTTCTACATACGTGCCCATTAAGTCCATATCGTAAACTGTAATGTAATCGTGTATGCATCGACTGTGGTATTCTAAGTCGAACGATAACCAAATAAGTTGCACCACATAGCCCGGTGGAGCTTGTATCGTCCACGTGCAGTCCTCGTTGTTCTCATAACCACTGCCATCTCCCGGTGACTGAATAGTTCCCGTGTTTGTCTTCAACAATCCTCCGCATTCTAGAAAACGGTACAAATAATAATCAAAAGTTATCGATATAAGAATAATGACGGTTGTCCATCATCGTTTGCCTTCACGTCACGACTCTCAGAGAATCACTTTACCGTCAAATTGCATTTACAGGAAAAATATGGTTAGAGCTTATTGAGGGTACAACAAAACTCAAAACCGACGAAGACGTGGCATATGCCCTTTATCCACTAACTCCCCTGAATATATTGACCACCATTGGTCACAAGATGAACGTTTTAATAATAAGAAACGAACGTAAATAAATAATATACAGTACTGGTAGCGATGGTCGTGTAATTCGCGCTGAATCCACGTCCCTGGACGTTTCCGTCGCTGGTGAACTTCAGGTACATGTAGTTATGTGTCGAATAATACGGTTCGGTGGGCGTGTACTCCTCGCTACCGCAAAGAGTCGCGAGTTTGGTGCTGTTCTCGTTGTCGCCGTCGAAAATCTCCAGATAATCGAAGTAACAGTCCGGCGGGGTCAGCCCCTCGATATCCATGTCGAGGATGTTCAGCACGATCCTCTTGCCGGGTGGCTGGACGATCTCGTAGATGCACGTTCTGGAACTGTGGTACGAGTTCGGGTACATCGGTGAATGTAGAACACCCGACTCCTCGGTGAATTCGCCGCCGCAGAGAGTGTTGTAGGAAAGGGTGAAACCCTCCTTCTGCAACGACCAGTCGGATTTGAAGATTATCAACAATACGTTCGAGTTCGATTTGATTAGCGGAGGTATCGTCGATCCGCAGAATCGTCCTAGTATCTGGGAGTCGCTCGATGGACCATCGTAAATCTGAAAAGAGGACCGATTTGATTGTGCGTCGGACATTGTACGTGACGATTAAAATTAACACAGATTGGACATATTAAAATTTGTGAAAGAGAGAGAGAGACAGTAACCTCGACAAAGTCGAATTGACAAGAGTTCGAATCTTCCAGCTCGAACTTGGACCAGGTGATTTGCACGCGTTCTCCAGCTGGCAACTGTATCCTCCAGTCGCATTCCATATTTTGATGATACGTGGACATGTCGATCGGAGTACTGATTGTACCTGAAGGCGCAGTGTAGACTCCGCTACAACCTGGTATCCCTGAGGAAACAGTTTGTAATTTCAGCCATGGGAGGATCAACCTGTACTTTCGTTCATCCTGTTCGTCTGAACCCGTACGAATATACTACCTTCGATGATCGAATAGTGAATCTGGAAACCCGCGTCCTGGCCAGCGCTGTCCGAATGGAAATGGAGCACCGCTTCGTTACCCGGCACGATTAAGGGCGCAGGACGCGTGTGATTACAGTAGAGACCCAATCGTTCGTGATCTTCACCAACGATCTATGGGAAAACCAACGTGGAATAACTTCAGTATCGTAGAAGAACTTACTCAGCATTCAGATTCGTGGTTCATACTACCTCGAGGTAATCATTCTCGCACGTTGGATGTTCCTCGAGCATCAACTGGCCGAAATGGAACTGTATTCTTTTCGACGGCTCGACCGCGATCTGCCAGTAGCAATCTCTGTTCGGCGGGTATCTTCCCGGCGAGCCTGGTGAGCTAACAGTTCCATAATTATCCGTCAATGTACCGCCGCAAATAGGGCTGGTGCTGTTCCAATGGAAAGCGAATCCGTCGTGGGATATGCTGCTGTCCGAGTGGAACCAGAAGTACAAAGAATTGTGGGACGACACTATGTTCCCGTTCTCGTGGGGCAATGTGTTGCCGCAAAATCTCCCGATCATTTGGCTGCCAGCATTTCTGCCGTCGTGAATCTAAAATATTTACACATCAAATCCATCGGTTCAAGATCTACGATCAAATAAAAAGTAATCGTAGGAATTCATTTCTTGTCCTCGAACCTGCAGGAAATCGTATTTGCAATCGGTCGAATGCTCGATATTGAACTTGGTGAACGTGACGTTCAGAACCAGTGAACTGTTTGTGACCAAGACCCAGGCGCAGCTCAGACCATGCTGGTAAACGTTCCCGTCGCCGGGGAACTGGAGGTGGCCGACAGCATTTCGGGACACACCGCCACATGTCTGACGTGGTGTCTCGCATGTGTTGCCCGTGAACGTCGACGGACAATCGCAGTTCGCCGTTCCGTTCAAGTTCACACAGACGCCGTTGTTTTTGCATGGATTAGGCATGCATGGATTCAACACGTCGCAATTCCTGCCTGGGATATTCACGGAAGAACGTGCGAGAGTTAATTCGAATACTATCGGAGTGATGTTTAATCCCCGTAGGAGGACTCGTACCTGAGTATCTAGAATAGCAGATGCAAGTATAGGTTTCTTCGTCGGTGCTAACACACCTTCCATACACACAGGGATTACTGGAGCAGGCGGTCTGAACGGATACGTCAGTGGTTATCTGGTGGCAACCGTTTGGACCGACTCCATTGCCCGCGTAACCAGCCGGGCATCGACATATCACGTAGGCGCTTGTGAGCGCTGAATTCTGAACGCACTTGGCGAACGGGTGACAACCACCGTTGTTGACGGCGCAACCACCGACGTAGACGCAGGTGACACCGTCACCGCGGTAACCGGTGGGACATGGTCCACACATTCTGGAACCCTGATGGAAAATCATACGTCACGTATAGAACTCTTTAGAAGGACTTGTTAGATCCTTTTTCTGTCAGTCGTTAGATGACTGCAGTATCATCCGAAGAGGATCTTTCGGTTCTTCAGACGTACTGCAGCCTCCATTGTCCACCAGGCACTCGTCGATGTCGCTACAGTAGTAACCATTTCCGGTGTAACCGCGTGGACACGCATCACAGAAGAATGTACCAGGGGCGTTTCGACAAGCCACCCAAGGGTTCACGGAACACGGTCGATGGTTACCCGCGCATTCGTCCACGTCCTTGATGCATGCTGGATTCGTGCCATCGGCCTGCCAACCCTAAATGGAAAGGACTTACAGTTATAAATATGGATCGATGGAAGAATGGACAGTTTCAGGAATGGTATCGATTGATTCCTACTTGATCGCATATGCAGGTGTAACCGAGGAGAGAGCCAGGTTTGCTCACGCAGACACCGTGTCCGCATAGTTCGTCGGAATTCTGTGTACTGCAGACGGACATCTTCGTTGTGCAGTGAAGACCGTGCCATCCTGAAGCGCAGTTGCATCTAATACGGCAATCAAAGTGAACAGAAGCAATATAAAAGACGACGGTAGCGAATCAGACGATCGATATTGCATCGTTCTATGAAATATGTATGTGAGAAACCTGTATGATCCTGGAAGATTGATACACGTGGCGCCATTCTGGCAGCCAAGATCCGTTCCCAGCAACCGCACACATTCGTTCACATCAACCATACAATTTGGACCCTGCAATTACATAAATATTCAATACTGTTCGTCTAGCGTCTAGTATTATACTAGTTACCTCCCAGTTGGACGGACAATTGCACTGGTATCCTTCGTAGAGATCCTGACACATACCGCCGTTTTGACAAGGTTTACTGCTACATTCGTTCGTCCTCAGTTTTGTTTCGATCGTTCTCACTTTCTCTTCCAGCCGTCTCACCTGGACGAAATGTTAATTAGCAGCGAGTGAATTTTCTCGCCAAGTGCAGCGATTAAATTATACTTCGTATACGTACGTGATTGGAGAGGGCACGGACTTTCAGGCCGACTCCAACAGCAGACTGAAAGTAACGAGTATATCAGGGGCGATGATCAGAATATCAGTTTTCAATTCGGTTATGTACCTGGTTGCGCGATCCCGGCACGCGGAATGTACTGTTCGCCTCCCCGAATCCTCGAAACATAGCGGCCATTCGTCTTTCCAAACCATCCGGGCCCTCCACGATCTGCGTCAGTCGTTGCAAACCAGTCTCGACCTCCGCGAGATATCCCGTTCGCCATCTCTCGATTAAACGAGTCGCGTTTTGCGCCTGAAAAAAGAATCGATTATTCTCAATAATAGTCTGGTGGGACAACTTTTGAATTCTCGATCGAGAATGAAATTGATCCGATACCGCGGACGCGACGTGCAGCAAATTAATTTCGTTGACGTTGACGTAACCATCGCCCAGGATTTTCAGGGTGATGTTCCTGTCCTTCGCCGCGGAAATGAACAAGCTTCCGTCGCGGGACTCCAACACCGGTCTAGAAATAAAGATATTAAAGTTACGAAAGATTAAAAAGCAAAACTTCTTCCTTGGGCGGGGTACGACATTAAAGGAAATTGTACATCCCGCACCTCTCGTCCATCCATGCCGCACAGAAACCCAGGTAAATCAACAGCAACCATCGCGATCCTGTAGCCATCGCGATGTCAGTTTTGAAACCCGGTCGATCGAATTTTTCACTGTAGCATCTCCTGCCAGATGCTGTGGACGACTCTTCGAAACGAAGTGTTCGTCACGGACTGCATCAAATGATGTAAAACGAGGCATATCTTCGTTTGAAAGGGGGCGTATTTCGAGGATTTATCGAAGTCCACCCAATATCGGTTACACCCATCACGTTGCACGTAGCTCGGTGACTTCGATCGAGAATTTCGTAGAAACTTTTTTCCTATTTAAATTTGACTTTGTTGTCTAACTTGAAACTTTGTTCGTTTTTCCATCCCCTGAACCACACCCCTCAAGTATTAGTTTAATCACCTTTTTTCACTCTTTATTTTTAACTTATAATCTAGTCATGATTATTTTTTCATTCAATGACCCACCTTTTTTTAATCAGTTTCTATCATTTTCGTTACTAGTAAAGTGCAACGATAACTTTCAATATTGACTCTTGATCAACATCAAAAAACAATAAATCGGTAATTGGGTTGCGTACAAAAAAACACCTTCGTTTTTACTGCTAATTAATATTTGCATAAAAGATGACAGAAAGTGGTCCAATAAAACAAACAACAATACTTTATTAAATTACATACACAAATAAGTAACACAAATAATAAAACAATTAATAAGAGGCACTCAATATTATTAAACGGGAAGTGTGATAATTCTGAATAGCTCCAATTATATCTCGTGTCGCATAAACGACTGCGAATGCGTATTCTAACATATTTTAAATTTAACCCAGAGTCTGAGTAGCTTCTGCATAAACGAGTACTTCTCATGTAATACACAAAACACATTGCACAAAATTTGTACATCAACATATACAATACATGAATACCTTAATAAAATCAACGTTAAAAATTCGTTTCATTTCATAATATTTCAAGCTGTCCTAAATCATTGCAGATCCAATCACCGTAAAATTGGTTCCACGGTTCACGAGGGCTTCGAGATGCTATTCGAAATTTGCCGCCAGTCGGCACGGCGGGCGTCACATCCGTGATGGTGAGCGCCACCTAACGTGGGGATTCGAAAGCGGCAACGCGTTCGAAGCGTCCGCGTAGCCGCCGTTATTCTCGATGCCGGACAGTATGGCTTCGACTGCCGGTCGGTTCGCGTTGGTGGTGACGTTCGACGGTGTAGCAGTGCGTCGTCGGCCGCGGGTGTGCGTGTTTCGTTTTCCGCGATCGGGAGACGATTCGTCGTGAGACACAGGGGACGTGACCGAGGACGGGCCACGTCGATACGCTGTACAGAGGGGCGAGGGCGGCGAAGAACACGGCAGAGATGCGGCGAAATGTGAAAATTGTGTTGCTCCTGACATGCGCGTGGATGTTCGCCTTTGTTTACTACTACCACACGTCGCGGGACACTAAGGTAAGTCATTCGCTAATTAGTCCCTGTGTGTAATAATAATTAGTGTTTTCCATAAGAAAAAGGGGGAAAAGAGTCGAATTCGGTGCGTATGCAATATGTCAACTGTCACGGGTGACACACGATATTGGAGTCAATATCGAAGTTTTAAACTTTTGACGTTGACCCAGGGAAATTCATTCATTAAAGTCGATAGGGTTGACAAAATATGTTAACGTGACAAACATTGATTCGTGTACTGTTGATTTTATTCGAGATCTGTATTTAGTTCATTCCGAATGTTCATGCAAATTGGCCCCGCAGTCGACGTATTGAAACGCGTTCACCGGGGACGGCGCCGAATTCGTGCGTCCTTGATACACACGGCTAAAGTCCCGGCGTGACATCGGTCGAGGTCGTTCGCGATTTTATTCAAGGGACATCTGCCACCTTTTTCTTTTTGCTCGAGACTCTTCGACGTTCGCTTTTTTTTTGGCATAGTATTGCAGTGAAGTCTGTATCGAAAGAGAAGTCCCTATAGAGTTGTGTATACTAAGTAGATCTGTCTGGAACATCGGTTGCCTTGGTCTCTTATTCTACTTAATGTCAGATACTTTTATTTCAGACACAATTATGTCATCCTGTAGTATGAAAAATTTTCCACTCTCTATGAAATGACAAAACTTTTTTAAAACCTTAACGTACCGTAGATTCTTTGGCAAGTTAATATTTCAAATTCCTTCGCGAAACATTTAAACGTATTCTATTCGATGGTGTAATAGTCTGCATCGATATCGTCCCACGTTCCATTCATAATCGGTCACGTTACATACAATGAAATCGTCGTATACCCTCGTCGCAAGGTATACATATACATATATGATGTTTGAATCTAGAACGGCCGATCACGTGACGCATTCACGTGTCCCGCGGATCCAGGGAACCGAACCGGCTTCACGGTAAATGTAACGCGAAATGTAGTATAATAAACGGTTAACGCGACGTGAATAACGGCGGAGTGCAACGGATTCTGGTGCGCGCATTATTGCCCTTATTAGCGGAGATCGTTCGCGTGGCACGGCTAACAATCATCGTGGATCTTCAATGGCCCGTACCGGGAACGGATCTATTGGCACGGCAGCTGTTCACTTTGTAGCCTCGATTTATTATAATTCATGTATATTTAACGAACAGAAATATTCATACATACAAAACGCTGCTAGGAACAAGATAAAAGTATTAGAAAATAATTTTTCATTGGGCTTCTCGACTGATTGTTCCGAGACCTTAACTAGACTTTTGTGAATGGCAATGACCAAGAAACATCACTGTGTATACATCAATTGAAGTACTATACACTCCAATGGTTATGAGAATCTGTTCGTTTCATCCTCTGTATTATAAACCCATATCGACCCTCTTTATATTTCTTGCAGGTAGTAAAGTAGCAGGGCTATCTATCGAATCCAGGGTTGAGAATAAAATTAGACGATAGTTCTTCGAATAATTTTCCCATATTTATTTTTAGAAAGTATGCAAACGGTTCGTGTGTAGAAATAAGAATAGGGAAAACTTGAAATTTCACGCAGCTTGCGCTAAAGGTGTTTCATAAAGAATTCAATTTTCGATAAATTTACGGTCAGCACTGATGTTAATATCGCTGAGTGTCCAGACTGTTCGAGTATCCCTTAAACCCCGAGAAGAAACGGCGTGGCTCTGTAAATAATTCAAGTTCAATACGGTCTCGGTATTACGGATGCATAATATCGATTGCGAGCACGTGTGAGAACATACACAGACGTGAACACGCTAATAAATACGGCCGCACGCCCCAATAAACACGCAAGAGATTCTCGTCGAGCCGTGCGACCGCCCTCATTCGCACCGGTTTGACCGATAATTTGTCGAACGTTTTTTTTCCCCTAATCGCATCGTCGACCAATGATTCGTGGAGATATCCAGTGTGTCGTGAAAAACCGTGTCGAGCCTTATCGCGGTGGAAATGTCTGTAATAGATTAACTAACATCGCGAATCACTTTCGCTTTCTTTTTCGTTCGAGAGCGCGGCTATCAGTAATTTAAACTGGCGAGCGTAGTGTAATCAACCGTCCACGTTTGAAAGCAATCAGAGATAGAATATTGAGCTATGACTGCAGGTACGAACTGAAAGGTTCGTGCCAATTGATACTGTCTGATGATGATAACGAAGAAAATAAACCACGGAGTTTGAAGTTGTCGATTTAAAATTTGAAGAATAAAGTTCCTTGCGAAATGTACAATTGGACTAGTTGTAGCAATAGTTTCGACTTTTTCGAGTTTTATACTTACATATGATGCCAGAATATTCTTCTATATCTTTCCTGTAGATGCTTCTCCGAATTCTGCGATGAAAAAATTGTCCTCGAGTCTCTGTATATTTTCGTCGAAAATGCCGTTCATCCCGTACTCATTGCAAGCGAGAGCATTCACTCCGTATTAAATACGAGTCCGGGAGTCAAAAGATATGTTGGCGAGCACGTGAATGGACAGACGCGTGGCGGGCGTGCACGCGTGGCTTGCAAGCAAACGATGAATAAACTTGCACATGGACATATCGCGCGCGAACTTATTTCTGACGCGTCTCGATGCCACGTGGGGCCATTGCAATTCGATGCAGTCGACTCCCGTCGACTTTTGTTCACGAGAAACACGCCATAGTCGCGAGTAACCGGTAGGTACATTTTAAATGGAACTCATCGAGGTTCCACTGATTTATTTTACAAACAACTAACTCTTGATTGACGTACGAGATACTAGCAGTTTTATTTACATTTAGATCGAATTTATTTCGAGTATAATTGAAAGCCAGAATTGTGTAAAGGTTTTTAATTCAAGACAATTTATTTCATCTCAGTTAGTGTTTATCGATCACTTACACTGCTATTACTGCATTTTATTCTTTTGTTTCGCGTATCTCTTATATTTAATCAGATTATAGGAACGACACAGTTGAAATGTAATGTCAAGGCAACGTGTCAACACGAGGCCAAAAGTAGTTCAGTTCGTGTGGTAGACGTTTTTAGAACGGATAGAAGAATGATCATCAAGGATCTAGATATAGATCAACGTAAGAACCGGTCGCTACCGAGGAAACGAGTGTAATCGCCAGTCCGTTACACCTCGGGAAGTGAAAGCCATTCCAGCGGTAAGAGTTCTGGAGGAGCTCCAAATTAGAGCGACCGTTATCGAAACCGTCTTTCGATTCACGAGTCACGAGCACGGTAGAACGCTGTTTGTTTTCGTAATAACAAGTGTCGCTGGCAATGGAATTCGGTTTGTCCGCCTGCCGCGATTGCTTTCGAAATTTCACTGTCCATGAGATTCGCGACTACGATACAATCGACTCACGATTAACAGATTATAATTTTTACGTGAATAGTTCGGATTATGTATTTATTCTATTCCAAGAGCCCGAAGATATAATCCTCTTTTTCCGATACGCTTGTTCGTCCGATATTAAACTTGAATTAGAATCGTTTAATTAACTTTAAATTGTCGTACTGCAAACATACATTTCAATTATTAAACTTGTTATATATCGCACAGCGGTACTAGAATTGAAACATACAAGAAAATACGAAT